ATGTACAATGAAAGTAAACGGTAAGTTCTTAATTAACTTCTTCCAGAAGGCATAACTTCACTAGAAAGATCTGAAAAAAACCTTTCTCGTAGCAAACCTTAAAAAGGCAGTTATATTACATCAGGTTTCCAAGATGCTAACCTTAAAAAGGCAGTTATATTACATCAGGTTTCCATAGATGCTAACACCTGGCACTGGCTACCGGAACAAGCAGAAAGGAACACCGGCAGCTCAGATTTTGGATTCTTCCATTTCCATTTGGGGCCACCACTGACTTTGGATGGAGGCAAAAGGAACTGGAGACTAGAGCAGAGAGTCAGGCCCTCTGTGTACTGAGAGTGACAGCGGTGAGAATAGGAACCAAGCAAGAAGCAAGTCTCCCCCTCTGGTCCTACTCCCCTCGCCCTACAGGGAACTTCTGTTCAGAACCAAGGGTTCATCCTGAGCTCTACCATTTGCCTACGTAACAACAACAACAAAAAGAATCACACAAGCTGACATACATGCCATGTTCTGAGTCTAAGACCTTCATTTCACGTTTTCTTTCTTTTAAAAAATCTTTATTGTTGAAACTATTACATATGTACCCCCCCCTCACTGACCCCTTCTATCCTGATCCTGCCCCCACCCCAGGCCTTCACCACACTATTGTCTGTGTCCATGGGTTAGCATATATGCACACAAGTTCTTTGGTTAATCTCTTCCTACCACCCACCCGGACCCGCCTCTCCCTGAGATAATAAGGAATATGATACTTGCTCTCAACACGAATGTCAAATATATGCACACAAGTTCTTTGGTTAATCTCTTCCTACCACCTACCCGGACCCGCCTTCTCTCTGAGATAATAAGGAATATGATACTTGATCTCAACATGAATGTCACCCGGCAGACATAAATGCACACAGTAAAATGCCATAACAGAGGCTGGAAGACCTTGGAGCTGCTGAGACCAAGAAGACCTCCAACTTGGATAGTCTTGGAATCTCTACCTTCTATGGAAGCAGAACCATTTTTTTAAAATGCTATCTAAGTTTGGGACAACCATTACAGTTATTTAGTGTTACTCTGAAGAATGTCCTATACTCACTTACCCTACATGACTATTGTTGAGACCCATTAAAAATCATTGCTTAAGTAACAGTCTAGTCTTTAGCTACAGAGAGATCATGTGTTGCTTAAATAAAAACTACAGAAAAAATCTACCAGTTAATTCAAAATACATGCCTGAAAATAGGGAAGAGAAATTCTATGGAAATAGTAAAGCTCTTTCCTAATGTGCTCAGGTGATTTTAAGCACCAACTGTCTTGCATATTTTGCAACTGTTTCCTTCCAAAAGCTAAAAATGTCTTGTATTTTACAGACAGTATTTTAGCATTGTTGCCTGTCACACACATAGGCAAACTGTTCAAAAGCTTCAATGTTGAAATTAAAATAAAACGTATGCCTAGAGTGGTAAATATTCCTGAATTGATAGAGTTGCAGCAGATAGACTCCAAAAATTGACTGAAGTCTGAGATATTAGAAAGACGAAAAATTTATCTAGTTTTAGCAAATGTCAAATCAGCAGCTATTGCTTTTAAGATTAATAAAAGATATAATGGTTTCCAGATAGCCTCTAAATAGAGATTACTATGAATGGGGAAGTGATTTACCAACAGTCACCACAATGAGATTTCTTTAAAGGTTACAATCATCAGTTATTTAGCTGAAACACTGCTGAGAATGCCTGGTCATTTCTTGAATAATGCATTATATTCATTGTAGATTTGATCTGTATTATAGCAATACAGATATTTCTAAAATAATGGAAAAAACTATCTGTTACCTTCCAATTGCTTAACATATCATTTCTACGAAGTAATTGACTCAGGACATATTACACACTGTCACCTGGGTGTTCTTTCTGCAAGCATAACTTGTAAATAATCTGTACACAATGGGCATCACAAAAAAAACTCATCAACCTTTATAGACTTTTAAGAAAAGATGAGATGAATACAGGGCAGAGTGAAGTACCTTTCTGAAGCAGTAAATTAAAATGATTAAATGTCTATATAGTTGGGGTGACAAATTTAAGCTCTGAAATTTAATTATTAACATGGATAGCTCACCACATTTTTAAGATGTTGCCTACGATGTGTAAGTCCTTCTCATATAAATTTCCAAATGCCTTTAGGTTTACTCAAGAGACTGCTTGGAGAAGCATCAAGTATAATGCGTATTGTTTTATTGTTAGATTATGAACTGCACTTCCCAGGATGCTACAGGCTATTTATATAAGCTGGTTTATCCATATGAACTTCTTCAAGGGCATACATAGAAGACCTTAATAAATTAAAACGAGTTTCTTTGATGTGGTTCCATGAATCTTTGATCAGTATGAGTAGCAGGTTTGCATTAAAGAACTAGAGTAAAGCAATAAAATATACATATACTGTGTACCAGTTTATAGAAAGTGCCCATTGCATTTTGCATTCCTCCCAACTTCTGAGAATCGGGGTAAGTAGTACAGAACCACTATGCTCACAACTAGAGCTTTAGCCTCTCACCGGTTTACTAATAGTGGGAACAACGTGTTACAACATGGATTCTCTGCCAAAAGCCGATGGAAAGTTTACAATAATAACATCTGTGATCTCCCTCCAGGCTCCTAAACATCCATCCCAGCCTCCTTGTTTCTCTCACTGACATCGCCATGTCCTTCCACAGACTGAAACCCATGAGGGCAGAGACCATGTCTGCTTCCCCCACCCCCATCTTTATCACAATAAGTAGTGAGAGAGTTGAGTTGATTGAAGGCCACAAAGCCCAAATGAATTAGTCACACTCTGAAACTGAGAGAATTCTTACCTGGAATTTTTGAAGATGGAGATACAAATTAAGTATCATCTTTGGAAATGAATGTGATGTGATAGAACACTTAGACAGAAAGGCAAAAAAAAAAAAAAAAGGAATTCTAGTTTTAGATCTGTGAACACTCAACTGTAAACCCTTTCTACATCATTCCCCTCACCTGTAAAATGAAGGCACGGTTCTATGTGCCCTATAATTCTGAATCTCTAAAAGGCCATGATTCCAAGAGCAAGCAGGGCTATCACAAAATAGAAGAATGGACAGACAAGGGAACCATTGGATTTTTCTACTTTGGTAGCTACTGCCACCACAAAAAAACCTATAAACTACTTCAAAGAAAAATGGAAATAAAGGAGAAGATGATTATCCTAAACAACTTAATATAAGTCCACTCCCTCAAGCAACATATTTAAAATTTAATAATAACATTTTGTACATTGTGTGATTTAAAAGCTTTTGCACTTATCCTTCCATCTTGCATGATTTGGAATAAACATGAAGACAGCCTATTGACTAAGCTCTTCTGTATACAGTAAATACTTACCAGGATTACTATATTCCTGGTCTTCAGCCTGGGAAAATTCCCTACAACTTTAGCCTCTGGAACATGGACTGTTGTGTGGCCAAGTTGACACCTACATTCTCAGGTCAGAGGGCTGTGAAAGGACAGCATAGATGTGCCTTGGCTGGTTTGTCCTCTGCTGTCTTAACCTCACATCTTGCCCTTGAGAGCTATTGTATTGTATGTTCTGCTCAAGCTTTGAACGTCAGTCTTACATTCTAGAGTCAGAGTCTGGGAACTAAGGCTTGTGAGCCAATCGGGTGGCAGCTGCCTGCGTTGTAAGCACAGTTTCATAGGCCACAGCCACGCCCTGTTGTCTATGGCTGAATTCATGCTGCTATGGCAGAGTTGAGTTAATCCCCAATGTCTAAAATATGTACTATAGGGCCCTTTACAGAGCATGTTTGCCAACCCCTGCTCTAGAGGAAAATAACACGTTGCAATTTAAACTCTAATTGTCCTTCTCTCCTAAGCATAAGAAACACAAACCCTAAGTAGTGATGGCAAAGAGAGGAACGGATTGACACATGCACATGCACAAAGATGGTCACCCCTCTGAGCACAGGACTGTACACAGCACTGCTTCTGACCCTCATTTTAATGTAAGTCCTCTAAGGGTTACACTCCCCACTGTCCCCTTTCCTACAACAGCCAAGAACACGGACCCTCTCCAAAGGTAGCTGTCAAGGTGTCATCACTAACTAAAGAATCTGATTCCTCCCTGAGAGAAGGTTGCCTGAAATTCTGCCAAACATCCAGTTTTATCCCATACTCGTCAAGGGTCTAGAAACTACGTTAGGCACAAGAAACTAGGAGATCCCTAAAGTCCTATGCTTTGAATGACACACCCTTGAAGTTAGAAAAATCAATGACCAACACCACATATGCATTGAAAAACATATGCATACATACTAAATTACTAGAAATGCCATACATTTTTAGGAGTTACAGGAGCACACAAGAAATACCTCTCTTAATTTCCAGAGTGAAGAAGGCCTAAAATTTTAAAATAATGATTTAAGGGTAACTGCACCAAGATTTGGAGGACAAGTACATGTTTATATTTGCAACTTCTAGGCAATATGTATAGAGACTTGAAACATTAATACGTTTCTTGTATTTTTTTATTAATCAATAAAATCATTGCTCAAAATGCCTGCTACAGTTGGATTCTGTTTACTTCTTTTCTTAGGTGACTAAAGACAGAAAATATTAGCTCCACCCGTTAGCAATATTCTCATACTCCACCCATCAATAAAAATTTTCATGTATTAACATAACTTATATTAAACCCAGGAAGCACTTTAATGTAAGTCATTTAATTCCCATTTTTCTGAAACCTTATATAAAGTGATAGAATACTTTAGGCTGACAAATTTTTTTTGAAAAGAAAATAGAAATAGAAGAGGTTCATTTCACCTTCACACGGTGTCTTTCTCATGCAGAGTTCAGATTTCCACATTTGTATCCCTTTAAAGGATTTGATATGCAGGAAAAGAAGAAAGGATGATGGTAAACATTTCATCTTAAAGACAGCTACAGACCACTATATGCCACAATGACCAGAGGCTTAAAACCTACCTTTTACAGATGTGTTTGGGGGTGGGCCTTCCATTCGCAAGTTCCATGGAGGGTCCCCCTGGTTAGCAAAGTCCCTCATTTTCAGATAGCTAATTGTAAGTCGAATGATGGACGCCTTGTCCAGCTGGCTCGTGATGGCTGCAGGAAGAGGCAATAACTTGGCCAATTCATAGAACTCAAAATTTTCTTTTCCCCGGCGGGAGCGTGCAGCATCTCGGGATTTCTCCTTTCTCAATGCTTGTAAACTGAAACCAAAGAAGTGACAAAGTATTGTTTAGAACATATGATTTTCTCATCAGATAGAAACTGCTTTCTTTTTACTTCCCCTTTCCCAGCAAAAAGCTACCAAAATCTTCTTCAAAACCCCATGGGCCATGGTAAAATACGTTCCAGACAATGTCCACTAAAACCATAAATTCTACCTCTGGACTTAAATGCCATGAACTCAAGTGCAATGAGTAAAAAGCATTTGCTTGGTAGGGTTTTCCCCCTCAATTGACCATGCAGTAACATACATTCCTTGATTCTGAAACATACGATTTACAGGTGATACTTGATCTTCTCAGCTATAAGCAATTTAAAAGATTGGGCTTGTAGATATCTATTCTCAGATATCTATCATATCTATTCTCAAGCTGGCTTTGTCCATTTAACTATTATTCTGATGGGATTATAAGCCATCAAAAGGATGCATTTAAAACCATTATTGCAGTTATCATCTCAGAGGAAAAGGAAAATACGAAAACAATTCACAGAATCAACAAATAAAATGTTGATGTTCTTCCAGCGCTCAGTACGGATCAAGACCTCAGTCAGATAAAGAAAACATCCTATTGAAGGGAAGATTTCCATGTAACTTTATAAATGTGCTGGTAATTAGTTGATAAGAGAATACTTTCATTCTTTTACCAATGGACATACACTAATTAATGGATAGATTCCCTAAATTACTAGAGGATAAAACACATTGCCCAGAAAGTCAAACTTTATGATAATATAAATTTAATGTTGAAAGACAAAAAGCCCTATCTGGGTTATTAAAATTTATAAACATTATAGACATATTACTTCACAGAAGAGGCAACAGGTGGGATCCAGCATTTTTCTTTAACTATTCATGTGCATTTCTGTTTGAAGTTTGCTCACATTGCTGAGGGCAGAAGCTGGCACCACTGAAGTTGCCTCTGAGCAGCTGACAGGAAAATTCCACCTACTCTGAATTGCTCTGTTTTGTGTCTGACAAGAAATAAACTCAAAATCAGACACCGGAGATAGGTAATTGGGCAATATTTACAGTATCCAGATACTATTAAAATCATTTACAGGTATCCATTTTATTGAACTCTGAGGACATTTTAAATCTTTGAGTCTAGCATGCTGGCTTTCCCTTATAAAATAGTGAGAATGAGAAACAAGGAAGGGAGACCAGAGGAATAAATCAAAGTGAGTTTAAAGTTGTGGCTCCCATCCCTATTAGTAGAATATGGACAATAACATCCCAGGTCACATTAGTGTTTACCTTATATTGTTCCTGGTGTAAACATTGTATTCAGGGTAGACACCCAAACTATCTTATTAAATATCTATGTAATTTAAGTAATGCCATAATGTTCTGGTCTAATATCCCAAATTATTTCATGTTTACTCTATTAATAAAATATTCTGAATTAGCTAGCTAATATAATTCTCAGAACTGGACAAGTTACTGCTATCATTCTCAGTCTCAGCAGTCTTAGGTGACAAACCTTTGTCTCTTCATATCTCAGGTGGTAACTCAGGCAGAAACCTCCTTAATTTACAAGGAAAAGACTTGTTTTGCCACTTATATCTCAATATCTTAGCTGGCCTCCATTCAATTCTATAAATGATCAATTTTGGCTTGTTGAAAATCTATAATAATAAAAGCATAATATGCTAATTAGACCAGATGTCCTTCCAGATGACCTTCCGAACGAAGCCAGGGCTGCAGCCACAGGATCGAGGCAGCTGCCAGGGCTGCGAAGGGCTACTCTTGCATGTATTTTGTGCATTGGGCCTCTAGTTATGTAAATAAAGTGAGAGGAGCCTTAAAATATGACCAAGTATAAATCTAACCAAGATCCAGGTTAACATCTTAAGATAAAAGAATGAGACCTATCCCTCTCTATAATACAAGCAATCTACCGAACACCATTTAAGTCATCTGTGCCAAAAAATTCTCTTTTCACATGTTTCTCTACCACTTATGGAGTGCAGTGGTTCAAGTTCAGTGCTCTGTTCTCTTTATATACTTGTAATTGAATACTACTCCAGAAGGTGGGCTGAACTCACAACTTTTTTTTTAGTCCAATAAGTGACTATGATGGAGCTCTGGAGCAGAGGTTGCAAACTCAAGAGCTCACAGGGTTAAGGCAGGGAACAGCAATGAGTGAAGAGGCCTGGAGGACAGCAGTGCAGGCAAAGGGCGGCACACACACTTCCAGCTAACTACAGCTTTGGTGGCAGGCAGGCCTGGTGTTGCCAGAGTTCTGGTTTTTTCTATTTCTAAAGAACAAAAACTAAACTTTTACATGGCATTTCAAATTTTATGTTATGTTTTAATTTTGTGTTAGCTAATTAAAGTTCTAAAAATTACACAAGACCATTAAAATATGTCATTTGGTCAACAATAGAGCAGGGGTGCATTTTATAACTGGGTAATAATTTGGGAGACCACTTTTGAAGGTAGTTTTAGTGGATGATATATATGATTTTCCTTTAGACATGTCACTCAAATGATCACAAATGGACTCATTTGTTATCTAATTAATATTACTAATATTCATGCTAGGAATTTCTCTATTCACCTGAAGCAACGAGGGGATTAGGCAATTACTCTGAAATTGATATTAATGCATAAGCTTATCAATAAACTAAAGAAAAAAATAATCCTATGGGGAGGAAAGCTCAAGAGCACAGGAAGCAACCCAATGGGCTCCAAAGCCTAGCTGAGGGGAATGGGAATATGTGGACGGGAATGCCTTTTGGCATTCTGCTCAATACTGCCCTGACACCTGACTGTTCTGAAACAGCACTGAGCACAACTTCCTCTATGTGTTCCTGCTCCACCTTCTGTTGTCTTTCTGCCCCCCCCCTCCTTTTTTACACTAGCACACACTGTTACCCCACTGGAGTAATCTTCTTGGCCATAAACTCAATAGCAAAGGGTTTCCATGACTCCCACATCACATCATTATGCAGACACCATAGTTCAGAAGAATTTCAGAATGATAGCACTGTGTCTGTAATAACTAGTAATTGGTTTTGAGGGTAACAGCAATAAAATATAGTCAAAGGATTATAGAGGTTATAGAGATGCTGACAAAAATAGATGAAGCTAAGGACCTTAAGACAACAACACAGATTGAGGATTAATCTTTTTTTCTGCTTTTGTGAAGTAGAGCCTAGTTATGTGCAATTCCAAAATTGAATTAAGGACTACATTAAAACCTAAAATAAACTTAGTATTTATACATTCTGTTCTAAACCAAAAAAGTATTTATAGAATACTAAAGAAAGGATGGCTTATTTGTACATGAGCAAAATGTTTGATCTCTGCCATTTAAAATATGATTAGGCTTCACAGTCACTATAAGTACTCCCTGGGCCCAAACTCCCCATTGCTGATGCTCATGTAGGAAGAAGAGACTACCTTATTCCTAAGCAAATCAAAATGCCAGCGCTCTTTGATGAGGATATTATCAACCTCACCAGCACTACCACCAACTAAAAACCAAAAAATCAACAGCCACTTCAAAAGGGAGACATGTAGATATGTAGATATGTACAGATTGAGATAAATAAAAGTTGGAAGTCCTATATGAAGTTGTATGTATGTATATATGTATATTTGGGGGAAGATAGTAAATGATTTTCAGATTATCCTTAGGGACCCCATCTCCCCAACTAAAAGGGTAATGATCTAGTATCTTGAATTTCTCCTAAGCCTTATTAAGTTAAATTTTCCCCTTCTTCTTGTCATTGATGTTGCCAGAATTCATTTATCATAAACAAGTATCTCTGGTTTCAATGATATTATTTAATCTATGTTTCTTCTCAACACCTTGAAAGAATTTGTACAAGTTTCTAAAGCTATACCTTATGCACAGATAACAAGCAATCATAAACTTTTACTAGTAATGACAGTGCACATTAAATGAAAAGTGATTTTTTAAATCCTTTTATGACTCTTAAATCCCTTTGGCAAGTTGTGTATTTTGTGCAAAGACTCCTGGTGAAGGAGTTAAAGACACATGTTGGGCATTTGCGACCATTATGATTCTAAGTCCAAAGTTGAGCCTTAATTTTATCATTTTATAAAATGAGGATGACAAATAGGGCATTTTTGGCAAATCCCCTGAGAGTTAACTATAAAGTAGTAAACGTCTTGGACAGTCCTAGATTTTAACAATTAAGATAGTTTATGAATTCTAAATGTGGTAGAGTCCACTTTAGAATTTCACAACAGAGAAGAATTTTAAGAAACTGGAAAGCTCAGAAATGCCCAAAGTAAAGTCAACCCATCCTTAAACTTGGAGTGGAAGCTCTGTAGCCAGATTGTGGACCTTCACATCACCAGACAGTTACTCGCTGGGCAACCTTGGGTAGGCCTCTCAACCTTTTTAGGCCTCAATTTCCTCATTTGGAAAATGGACATTTTAATAGTATCTACTTCATAATATTCCTGAGAGGAATGACTGAGCTAATCTGTGCAAACTGCTAAATGTCTACCATATTGTAAATATTACATAAGCAGTAACTCTTATTATAATAAATATAAAAGTTATATGGGGAAAAAAAAGCCCAACTGTTTTAATCCTAGTACCACATCTGATTACCACCCTATTTCTCCATAATTCTTTATAACTTTTTTAACCAAGCTTCTTATCTACCATGTTTGACTACATTTTCTATAATTCCGAATACCTGTTTGCTTTCCTCATTGTCCTCTCAGACTCCTTTCTCTACTGCCACTTATGACCTTCACTTTAGTAAATTTAATTTCCCATGTAGTGACAGTAAAAGTCAAACCAAGGAAAATAAAGTCAGAGGCCTAACTTCTGCTTGATGACAACATTAAAACTGCCTATTTTTAAAAAGTCCTACATGTTCTAATAGTGATTATCATCAAGTTCTGTCTGGTAGATTTTTCAGCGTCTTCCATGTCAGCAGAAGGTAGACTTTAAGTGCATGGAATGTGGAGCCAGCTGCCTGTATTTAAATCCCG